CGGTTGGCGGAAATCGTACGGTCGGTAATGACTCCTTTGTCGTACATAATTGATGCTTCGTCTGTCTATACTGCTGCTTCAGGAGAATGATCATACCAGTTGTTGCTAACTGGTACTTGGTGCTGCTTGTGTATGTATTTAGCGACGTTGTTGTGCCTTTCGGTGTATTCTGTTGGTGCCAGTGTTGAGCAGCCTGAAATAATGTGGCTTATATGTTCCTCACATTGACGGCATATTCTGCATTTGCTGTCGACATTCTGTTTCAGGACCATTCTTCTATGGTAGCGCGTGTTAAGTGCCTGGTCCTGTGCAGCAATCAGTAGATTTTCAGTCTATACTGCATTACCGGTACAGCAAGACTGTTGACAGCCTTTATTTTATTTTCGGCGCTCAGTTCTGTTTTCAAGATTCGCCTTAACCAACCATAGTATTCCTTCTTCACATTTTCTTTCATAGATTCATGATGTACCTCGTCACTTTCATGTACGCCAAGATATTTATAGTTTCACTTGGATCAAGGTAGTCAAATCCTGCACTATTTTCAGTTATTTGGTTTACATTCATTGAGATCTTTCCTCTGGTAATCGTGATCCTTTTACATTTTTACAGGCCAAACTGCATGCATATGTCCTCACTAAACCGCTTCACAATGTCTAGCTCTCTATCTAGCTGCTTGTTGCTGGATGCGAATAACTTGAGGTCATCCATATATAATAGGTGACTTATATAGGAACCCTGCCTGACCTCGTATCCAAGTTTTCCAGAATTCAGAGCGTTAGTCAGTGGAACCAGGGAGATGCAGAATAGCAGCGGTGACAAGGAGTCTCCTTGGAATATCCCTCTGCGGATTCTTATTTTATCAGTCTTTATACACCCTTCAGCGTGATGCAGCTGTAATTCGGTATTCCACTTCTTCATAGATGATTCGAGAAACTTCACAACAATCGGATTAACCCCATATAAACTCAGAGCTTCAAGGATCCAACTATGAGGTATACTGTCGAATGCCTTGGCGTAGTTTATCCAGGCCATGCTTAGATTTCGTTTTCTCTTCTTGGCATCTTCAACTACCATTTTGTTTATGAGTGACTGATCCTTGCAGCCTTGAGTTGATCGACGGCAGCCTTTTTGTTCTGACGGTAGAATGTTGTTAGAGGACAGATGGTCATATTATTATTATTATTATTATTATTATTATTATTTGATCCTCAGCACATACGTTGAAAACGACAGAAAAAAAACCCTACGTCTTCCTGCACATACCTGTATTTGCGCACATTTTAACTTTCCACTTATGAAGGACATACTTAAATTTAGCTCAATGTGATAAAGTCAGCCAACAGCTCTGGATAGTAATTAAATAATTTATTTTATTCAAAGTCGATAAATATAATGTAACTAAAAAAGTATTTTTATCACTTACTATATATCAAAAATATAAATCTAGTTAGAGCAAAAATCTAATCCTTGATCTCAAAAACTCCCAGAAACACATTTTGGGAGAGTTTGAGAGCATGAAAACGATTTTTCTGTATGTCTGTCTGTCGGTCTGTCCGCTAACCCTTGGCCGATCTGTATCTCTGAAAGTACCGCTCGGACTTTGATGATATTTTTACACAAGGTTGGAAAAGCTTGTAGTTTTTGAAGGTCAATCCAGTGTCGGAGCTACGAGGAAAAAAACAAAAAAGAAATGGAATTTTTTTTAACTTGTTTTTTTGACGTCTTAGAGGCTTCAGTCTGATCATTTTTAGAGAAAAATTGTAGGGGTTAAAAATGGGGGGTTGGGGAGTATATATACGGGGTGTAAAGTTAGTAGTGGATCAGCGGAAGTCAGGTGATAAAGGGCATTAAGACCTATCGAATGAATCTCTATATGTGTGTTCCGAAATTTTATAGTTCAGGAGATATTTGCAATTTTGTGAGATTTAGAAAAAATGGGATAATGAACTTTCAATCGCAATTGCAACTAAAGCATTAGATTTAGGGCTGTGATTTTTTTTTTTGAGATGAGCCGAATGGTTAGTTTTAGTAAGAGAGAGTTGTCACTTTTTAACAGAGCTACTCAGAAAGCATGGCAAAAAATCTTATATTCATTTTTTTGTAAAAAATCTCTTTCACCCCTCAACTTTCGAGGGCTGAAAAAAAATTGAGGTTGTATTTCGTTATTAATTTTATTGTAAAAGCTATTTCAATTCATGTAGAATAAACCCTGAAACTTTCAGCTTGCTACGATGAGTGTATCATGTCACATTCATTGTGATGCGATAAACGTAAGAAACGCAATAGAACCCTTACCACCTACAAGTACAAAACCTATTGTGTTTAGCCGCTCTTTATGCCGATTTGCCGACAAATGTAGAAGATAATTTAATATGACTAACTTTTAAAGAGCATGTTCGAAATGGACTCCATTATTTTCTATACACAAGCGACCACTTCTAATAAAATTGTCCTTTAGTCTTTGCAATGAATTTGCGTTTTCCATAATTTTTGTTTTTGCTTCATCAAAACCCCTATATAAAAAAAATCAAGAGAATTTAAATCGGGTGACCTTGGAGGCCATCGAATATGTCCACCTCTACCTATCCAACGCCGAGGAAAGGCACTGTCTAAGTAATGCCATACATCCCGTGAAAACTGGCATGGGGCACCATCGCATTGAAAAGGTACATCCTCTAGCAGCTCATGCAAATTGAAAAGCAAGATATGACTGACCATTCGACCTCGCGGGCAGTTCATATGGTCCAATTAATGTTTTGATGAGTACTCCAACCCATAAATTAACGCCGAACTGACGTTGAAAGCTGTGCCGGCGAATAGCGTGTGGATTTTCCACACTCCATGAATGGAAATTGTGCATGTTGGATATTCCATTTCGGTTAAAGTTGGATTCATCTGTCCATAAGATGTTATCGAAAAAAGTTTCATCCTCTTCGCATCTTCTCAACATATTCTCACAAAATTCAACCCGTTGTGCATAGTCGCTTGGAAGCAATTCTTGTACTTTTTGTACATGGTAAGGATGCATGTTCTCCGAGCGTAGTATTGTGTGCACTGTAGTATGGGATATGTTTCTGCTTCGTGCAATGGCTCTGGTGATTATAGAGGGATCTCTCTCTCGGCTGCTTCTATTATTTCTTCTGGGCGTATCCTCGGCGCTCCTAGCTGACGATTTTACAAAATGTTAATACACACAGTATGACTTGCACTGCTAGGACGAGTCTAACAGTATCTCATATGTCGAAATCCATCAAGTAGTTTGGGCTGTAGATCGTAAAATAGAATTTCTTGTTTACATGTATAGATACCCGCCTGCCTCAAACATACAGACTTTTTAAGGTGAGGCACTTATCGTGGCAAGCTGAAACTTTTAGGGTTCATTCTACATAGATTTAAATAGTTTTTACAATAAAAGAATAATGAAATACAACCTCAATATTTTTACAGCCCTCCAAAGTTGACGGATGGAAGAGATTTTTCGCAAAAAATTGAATTTAAGATTTTTTGCGTTCACTTCTAATTAGCTATTTCGAAAAGTTACATAACCATGACTAAAACTAACCATTTAGCCCATCTAAAAAAATTAATAGCCCTAAACCTAATGGTTTAATTGTAATTGCGATTGAAAGTTCATTATCCCGTTTTTTTCGAAATTTCACAAAATTGCAATTATCTCCTGAACTATAAAATTTCGGACCACACATATAGGGGTTAATTCGATATGTTTTGAGACTTTTGTTGACAAACTACTAACTTTACACTCTGTATAGTTAGTATATTTATGTGCTTCCCACCCCGGTAATTTTACGCACCTATTAGACATATTTCAAACATCAGAGATTTCCGTATTTGCTCTCAGAATAAGAGAAATAGGCGTATCTGGTCTCTGGCTACTTCTGCGCTGCGTTACGGTCTCTCTGATGACTGCCGTCTAACTGATGGGCTACAACTAGCGCAATTGACTGCGGTGAACGGCAAGGACAGTAAGCTTGCCACGTGGTCCGCGCACTGTCAGTAGATCAGTGAATATTTCTATGAAGTAATATTGTAAGGGCATATTTCAGTGGTTTTATCTACCTTATTTCTTTGTTAAACTTGTTGTTGATCCTTTATGAACTAGTAAAGTCGCTTATTTTCGGGAATCCTATCCGCTCTGTATCTCCGAAATGGAACGGTTTCTCGAAATAGTCGTTGACTAAAAATAGCCACTTGAATTATTTTCGCTCCACGTTTTGGAAGCACCCTACAGATGTTCAACTTTATCGTACGACTTTTTCTTTCAGCGAAAAATCTCTCTTGCAATGAACATCTTATAGAATCGAATTGGTCGGCGTTCACATATATGAGGCGTGTCGCAGCAAAAGGGCCTATATCCATTTTTGGTAAAAAGTGAGTAAAAGGCGGTTATGATATCTGTATCGATAGCCGCATCAACTGGTCAAGTATTCATATGCCAAAGGTGTCTTTATCCCATATAAAACTACGATGAAATATAGGGTGTCGCGGCAAAAGGTTCTATATTTACGATGATCAACGCGTCAAACAGGCATATATCCAACAAGCCAATCAAACCACTAGAATTCTGTCATGCGGCTTCGAGTTTCATCAAGGCAAATACACATGATTTTCCCTATCACTGGACACTCGTTTTTGCCAGCAGATCGTGTGTTTGCTTCCATAGAGAAAAAACTGGGTAAGTTACCAGTAGTAACAAACCATCAGAATATGAAACAGTTTTTTCAGAGCATTCCACACTTTTTAAGCTTGGCACTGACTTGAAGGTTTACGACTGGAAAGCTTTAGTAGGGACTTACTATAAAAAAACTACATCGTGGCACTTCAAGTTTAACGAAGCAAAGCGTTTCATCCTCACTAAATCCAAACAACAAAATATATGGGTTAGGGGTGAAGTATCTTACAGCAGTGATTTAACAAATGACAAATTGGTTGTTAAAAATGGTGTCAAAATAAAATCAATCCCATTGCCTGATGAAATACCAATGGGAGTTGCATTGAAAGCAGCTAAGGTCCAAGATGTTAAAAACCTTTTGAAAAAGCACTTCGGCGAGAAATGGGACACCATGGAAGAATGCTCCTTCTACAAAAATGTGTTGGGAATCACGGCCGATGTGACAGCTAGCCATACAGCAGCAACAAACGAAACTGTTGAAGACCTCGAAGAAGAAGTTAATGAGTTCTGTGAAGGACATCAACATGAACATCTCGTTGAGCGGGTGTAATACTTATTATATTTTCTCAAAATGCATTGAGTTGATCTTAAAGAATCTTAGTTTTGATTTCTTGTAGACATATGTATTTTTTTTTTTAAGGGAAATAAATGTTTGCCTGTTTATTCCATCTATGTGCCGGATCTACCACCATGTAATAAGCTCATTCCTAAAATAAATTCTAAGTTGAAAATTATCTCAACAATATATATTATGGGGATTATTCCAGGAATAAGTTTATAGCGCGGCGGTAGAATCGTCCATAAGTGTGTTATTGCGTCAAAACAGCCTATATCCTTATACAGTTGGAGCAAAAGTTCCTTTATCCATTTTGTTAAGGCAAATGGTTCTATATCCAAACTCTCTAGCTAAATTACATCCGCTTTATTCACTCCACGATTATTTTTGTTGCTTGTATTTGTTTTATAACCCAATAGGAACGGTTCAAAACAAAATTATAGCCGTTACAACTTTTAACTTAGTTAGAACAGTTTTTCGCCAATTGTGGAAAATTAGTGGAAGGGGATATAGGCTCTTTTGCAGTGAGACGCCTCATATACGAGTATATACAGCATTCTCAATTGTAGATATGAAAGCAGGCTGGACGATATTGGTTTTCCGGAAAATATGCAACTTTTTCAATTAAAACTTAAGTATACATTCAGACGTACTTCGGGAGCTTATATTGGATTCCAAAGTAGCATAATGGTAGAGCATCTGCGATATTGCCACCATTGAAGTGAATCGCTTTCTAACTTGGATGTTTACATCTTAGGCAAGTCGAAATAAGTCTTTTAGCAGATGATATTTCTGCATTGGGTACCAAAACTACACTACTCTGGAAATTTCTTTATATTGTTCTTGGTGGGGTCGATCACGGGAGACAGATAAGTATACGTACCTGTTCCTAAAACATTTGAAGAGCAAGCCCCGCCCCCCCCTCCTCACCTGCGGGCATCTATGGTGCCAAGCGAAACATATTTTTAGTGTAAATGGTCGACGATAGTTGTTAACGATTGCTCTGACGAGCTGAAGAAGGTTTTTTGTCGCGATCCTGGAGTTAGAGTAAAGCTTTTACAGTTCTTTTGTATCATCATACCGTGTGCCAAGCTTGAGTAAGAGAGATCGCACACTATGCAAGGCAATCGTAGCTTCTACTCTCTCTAACACATACACAAACATGGATAGGATGACAACGGAACTGTTGTTTCCATTGACCTTCTGAAAATAGTTCAATAAAAATTTTTTTCAAACAATGGGATATTACATCTTTCATAGCTGAAATACATTTTGAGAAAAGTCTTGGGGGGAACGATTCATGGTCAGGATGATTCCCCTCTCGGGGAGGGGTATCGGCGATTGGAAATTATAAAATTGAAGAGCGGGAGGGAGGTCTCTGCGAATTGAAAAACACGATCGAAATTCATTGAACTGGGATATTTCGGGAGGGAGGGGTCCTTCGGGACACACATGTTTTTTTGGCTTGCATATTGGAACGTATTTGTAATTCGTACTCCACAAAGAATTGGGCTGACAGAATTTGATTTTCATTCACTTTACATTCAAAGAAGAACCTGAAAACACAACGAAACAGAATATACTTTTTAGAGGCGGCAAAATAATGATTTTCAGTCGAAATCCAAGAGTTCGTATATACCGTATTGTTTAACACTCCAATTCCCAAGATCCCCTAGAAGGAATCAATTTTCAATATGTATTCTAAGATTTCGGTTTAAGTTGACGTCGTTCGTTCTCATCACTGAGATAAAAGGAAACATCGGTTTTCAGAGAAAAATAATTATATAACCTCCTTAGAATGGTAAACCCATGAATAACGTGGTATTTCTTTTGCCCGCTTTTCCTACCTTTTTGAGACTAGCTTCTATTTATGCTTACAATTGAAACGAAAAGGTAGGTTTTGTATTTTTATAATGAATCAAAATTTTAAAAGTATTAGCAGTAATGCCTCAGATCCCCTGCAAAGGACTTCGGGCAGCGTTGATGCGGATGTCGTTGTTTTTATTCAAACATGTCTTCGTTTCAGAGCTATTTTTTCTTTGACTAAAGTCTGGAGTCCTAAATAAACTTTGGAATTAAAATAGAATTAATTTAAATTATGTAATAGTTTTTTCAATTTGAACAGTGTTATTTCTTAAATTTATAATAAAACTAATTATCTATATTAGTATAGTTAATAATTTATGTAAAATTGCACCCCACTTGAGTTCTTCATTCACCTCCCATGCCCAAGGTCCGCTCTATGGGGGACCATAAGTTATTTCACATATTATGTGCAGAAATAAAATCACATTCATTATATTTTATCTAATTAGCCTCATTAGAACCCATAAAAACCAAAAAATCATTGAAATGAGTATTTGTCGAGCTATAGACATCATAGGTGGTAAAATACGAAATTATTATTAATACCATTATAATCATAAATTTAATCCCATTTAAAAACTCCCAATACCCTAAATTGATTCGTTTTGGCCCGGCACATATATTCTTTCTCAGAAATTTCCAGTGAATTCGGTCCAAGTCGTTACATAGACCCTCTCAAAAGCTTCCCGCCATAACTCCTTATCACGTTAGCTTTATCCCCGATAAAAACCCTACCGGTTCTTTTCCGATGCCTTAAACCTGTCGGTAAATATTACCTTAGATTCCACTCTACGAAAAGCTACAGTCAACGTAGAATAGAACAGGTCTCAAGGAATATAAGTATTTTACACGCTTTGTGGTTTGTATATCGAATTTAGGCGGTTATTGTGATTCGTACTTTAACATAAATTATTATATTAATTTAATTAGCTATATCTGCTTAATTAAGTTGAAATGATATTTTCACGAAATTTAAACTATCCGTATGTAAAGAAAACAATTTAAAAGACTGTGAACCCGAAATAACTGTTTCTCGCCATTTGCTATATGAAATTCAAATATCTAAAAACTGATTATGCGTTTTTCTGATTTTCAGGTTAAGTGCAGATACTCCCTCTGTGCTTAGCATGGAAGTATAGTTCATAGTCCTAGATGTGGGTATATTGTACCATTAAGATGGGACTATCACGACACCCGTAGGTGAAATTCCTCTCTTTGCTCCCCGAATAAATACACATAACGACCGTAGTTGCAAAGCAATCGCTTTTTCCTAAATGCTTCTAATGCTGTTTAAATTTTACATAGTGAGTTTTTTTTTAAACACTGTACTGTATACTCTTTTTAACATAGATGTAACATGATCCGAGTGAACACCCAAAGTTTTTTTTACGTATTTCAGAATATTATTTTATTGTGTATGCTGAGATGTATCTTACTTCCGAGACTTACTCCTACCAAAGAACATCACCACTGATTTTGATGAATTTAGTGCTAGACAGTACTTCTCAGATGACAATGTTACAGTTTCTAAGTCCTGATTCACTTGACCACATGCTATTTTCAATATCAGTCTCTTTAGATGTTATATTTAGCCGTGCATCATCAGCATAGAAGCTATAGGAGCAATAGTTCAGGCATCTCTCGAACTGCGAGATAATATAAAAAGCAGGGAGGCATAACATGGAGCCTTGCGGTACACCACTCAAAATCTCGAAATGGGGAGATTTTTATTTTTATAAGTTTACTGTCTGAGATCTCTCAGTTACATAATATGCAATTAGATATATAGCACCTCTTGAAAAGTTGAAATAACACACACAAATAATGATAATTAAAAAATCACTAGGTAAATAATTTTGTTATACACAGAATTTTTGACGCTGGCCAAGCAGATTGTCTCTGGCCAGAAGATATCGATCATAATTGACGAGTTCTCTTCATCCCACAACGCCAACGTGGGTGTTCCCCAAGAATCGGTCTTGGCCCGAATTGTTCATCTTACATATCAATGACCTCCTTTCCTGTATGGTCTATACAACTCTCAGCTTTGCTAATGACAGGAATTCGGAGTGACGAGCCGATCTCTGCTGGTGAGCTGGAGAAAAGGATAGTAGCAGCGACCTGCTCTCTGACGAGAGATCTGGAGGTTATCACTGCGTGGGGGCGCAACATTCTCGTACAATTTAATGCTTGGAAAACATAGTACTGTACCTTGACGAACAAGAAGCGTCCTAGCGCTCATCCAGTTTCGATGGATGGCAGAGTTCTAGATAAGAGCTAGGTTATTTGTTTAGAACCAAGAAGTACTTTTCTCCACATGACCTCCTCACTGTATATGAGGCCCAGATCAGAACTAGCCTTGAGTACTGCTCGCATGTTTGGGGTGCTGCATCCCTGACTACATTATTCATGCTCGATGCTGTTCAGAGGAGGGCTATCCGACTGATCGATTACTCTTCTCTAACAGACCCTTCCGCACTGACGGGTCCTCGGCAATCTAGCCCCCTTCTACCTCTACGCCAACGGGCTTTGCTCCTCAGAGCTCTCCTCGATGATATCGTCGCGCTATGTAGCTAACTGGGTATCGAGACTGGAACAATCTTCATGTGGAGGCTTTTCCCAGTTCTACTAACCTTAAGCAGTTCAAGATTCGGATTAAAAAAGTTTATTTAAGCTCCTCATAGCAGCCGCGATGCCCTGGCATTTAGACTTCTGCCTGCGCGGCTGCTGCGATGTAAAAAATACTACTAAAACTTATTGTTTACTACAAGTTAATACAGAGTCTAATTTGCAACTGAAATCATGGTGTTTGTTATATTTATTCATGCCGTTATTGAGTGAGAAACGAATGATGTGTAGACGTAAATAGCATACTTCTATCTGTGTCAGACTCTATCATGCCTTCATACCGTTTTGTGACGCAGACTTTTCGCGGACGTGCAGAAAATTCTTAGATATGCTATATTTCAAAGCCTCATAAAAATAAATGTGGCAATATATAACAACAGCAAAAAAAAAATAGTTACATGCCTCCCACATATAAGAGTTCTTGTCCAATAATGGCATACTTCTCCACCAATGTACGTAATGTACTATTTTGTCCATCATCCATACATCGTTAAGAGATGAACATTTGTTACTTTATGACAAAATAATATAAGTCATATAAAAATATATAGCAGCCTGCAACTCCTCTTATTACCTGGCTCTCACAAAGATGCATCTTTCACGTATGCTTTTAGGACGAACCACAATCCCGTTTATTATATTTTAGCGTGGAGTATCCCTGCCGTGATCTTGTTAAGGATCAAAAGGAAACAATGAGCATCTGTCTGCTTTCATCTTCTAACAACTGAATATCCGAACAACCCGAAAACTTGGCAACCAAGGATTTTTTCGAATCAACGTTCATACTAAATGTTCAGGAGATCAAAACAGGTATCTATTGGTGACCTCTAGTGTGACCAACATAATGAGTTCAGAGATCAGTTGCATGTTTGGGGTGCTGCCACACTGACTACATTATGCATGTATGCTCGATGATGTTCATAGGAGGGTTGTCTGACTGATCGATGACTCTTCTCTAAAGGACAGTCTCGGGACCGTTTTGGGCCGGCGGGCCGTCGGCAATCTAGCTTTCTTCTACCGCTATGTCAACGGCTTTTGCTCCTCTGAATTCTCCTCCATGATGCCGCCGCGCGATGATTCTAATTTCGGCCTCCTATCCTAACCATGTCAAACTTGATACGTCCAATACGTACTGGTTACGACCGCTGCTCTGTTAGTTCAGAAATTGGGATAAGAACAAGGTGTCTTTAACCTCCTTATCGCATTCGCGGTGCCCCGGTACTTAGGCTTCCGCGAGGTTGCTTCAGTATAAAAAAGACATTTTTGGTAACAGATCGTGAATCAGCACGAGACTTGATATAGATATCAATTTTAATATGCCAAATATAGGTCAAATGGTCATAAATTGTCAAACGAGTATGTCAACCTGTAACTTCTGAAAATTACACGAAGGCTGTGGAAACTATAAGGGGTAAGACTATACTTTAGTGCATATCGCAAATACTTCTTACTTTAAAATGAAAGATTAGGATGTAACTTTTACGAAAATATCATTTTTTCTTTAAGGAACGCTCTGCTTGCTATTTTATAGAACTTCAAAGTTGCATTTTTTGTGGTAATACCCGAGAATAGAATATTGTTTTATATGCTGTCTTTTTTCTTTTTTTTGCTTTTGCAAAAAAGGATGCTCTAAATTATAAGAATATAACATACACTAAGGAAAATAGATGTGAATGTGTGAAGAATCGTTTTTTGCTAAAAAAGATTCAAAACCGGCCGTGTTATCACACATTAGCTTACACACGTAAATAATGGTATTTACTTGGTAAACTGTGTAGAGGTTCTCAATGTCTTCTTGAAATTCCTTAACCATTTTTTTCGCTTATTTTCAACGAGATCCAAATTTTTGCGTTTATAAGAAATATTTGAAAGTACAAGCAATTCTCAATGGCGATTTTATATCGTTCATTTCTTGACAGATAAGATAAATGATGTCCATTGTAGCCAAGTTGTACCTTTTTGGGGAGAAGTACGTAATAAAAATGAGGTTACTAATTGCAAAATAAAAGTTTTAATTTATTGTAAATGACTTGTTTTATGAGAAGTTGTCCCAATATTTACCGAAAACCAGATGAAATTTTGAACAGTATGTGTCTAAACAGTGGAGAATGCACTAGCGGCTCGCGTGACATAAAAATACAAAAGGCACCAGCGGTCATTGCATATAACAACTTCAATTCGTCGATTTGGAGCACCTCGCTAGGTCCACCGTACAACATTATAGTTAAATAAACAACAACGACCATTTCTTCAAATCATCAAAAAACTTGCAATGTTCTTTGTTATGTTTTCATTATTTAGCGATTGGCAACAGCTACTTTTTCAGTTATTTCTCATATACAGGAATATCACATTTATATTTTGTGTCATTAGCTTCACTCTAAATAATTCTTCAAGTACGTAGTCATGCCATAAGTTCTGTCCCTCGTTTTCAAACAAGTGTAGACCTGTTAATACTTGTCCGATTGTTTACATTGTGGTGTCAGTTGATTAAGCGCTTTTCGGGTAATTACATATACCTCAGTTTGTATTGATCTCTCGAAGCATAACGATGGAGTGGGGCAAGGCAGAGAACCGTATTGCAGTGATAGCTTTACATAAGTGTAATCACAGTGCTAGTCAGATTTTTGAACTCTTACGCGGCCTTCAAATATCGCGTAAATTTGTGTCTAGGACCATTCAGCGGTACAATGAGACGTCCTCTGTTGATGACAGGCCAAGAAGCGGAAGACCTCGTCAAGTAAGGACTCCAGCAGCCATCAAAGCCGTAAAAGCCAGGATTCAAAGGAATCCACTCCGGAAGCAGAAGATCCTATCCAGGGAAATGAAGATTCCTGTCCGGACGATGTCGCGCATCATTAAACAAGACCTAGGGCTAGGGGCTTACCGGAGACGTACGGGCCAGCGACTTACGGCCACCTTGCGACACATCAGGGCGACAAGATCCAAGAAGCTCTTGGAGAGGTACGCAGCTGGGGGATTCCGAAAGATTTTGTTCACGGATGAGAAAATCTTCACCATAGAAGAAAAATTCAACCGAAAAAATGACAAAGTGTATGCAAGGAGTTCACAGGAAGCTTCGGAGATCATTCCGAGAGTTGAGAGAGGCCACCACCCTGCGTCAGTCATGGTTTGGTGGGGATTGTCCTACGAAGCTCCATTTCTGTAAACAGGGCGTGAAAACAAAAGCGGCAAACTATCAGAGCGACATACTGGATCCTATCGTCAAGCCTTTAAGTGGTACATTGTTTGCCAACCAACACTGGGTCTACCAGCAGGATTCCGCCCCCGCTCACAAGGCTAAGAGTACGCAGCGCTGGCTGGAAAGCAATGTGCCAGAGTTCATTGCTGCGGAAGATTGGCCCTCAGGGAGTCCGGACCTCAATCCTTTAGACTACAAGTTGTGGGACCTGCTAGAGCAGTTGGCCTGCTCCAAAGCCCACCGTAATATCGAGTCCCTGAAAGCGGATTTGATCCGATCAGCGGCAGCTATTCCTTTGGAAGCTGTGCGTGCAGTGATAGATGAGTGGCCCGCGAGATTGAAGCAGTGTGTGAAGGCCAAGGGGGGACATTTTGAATAAAACTGTTTGATTATGAATTCTAAAAATGTTGTCGAATAAATAATATCTTTCATATAAATATATCTTATCTTGTTTCATTTTTATCATGAGATTATCATGGGACAGAACTTATGGCACGACTACGTACATACATATAAAAAGTAAATAGGTTATAACTATAATATAGGAAAAACAATAACTGAAGTACTTTTGTGGAGGGCATAAGGCATTTTTCACAAAAGTGTCTTCAGCTTACGCTATCGTAGGGCACGAGATGGATCTAGTACAATAAAACCTGCCGGCCAAACCTCCAAATCGTATTTCCATGACAATCCTGAGCAGATTGCACATTTTTGTGCTAGTATATGAGTAAGAATTTGATAATCCTAATTAAGGTATATTACTGCCCATGATTTGGCAACATCGCAACAAGATGGAGAGAGTATGATAGTGATGGTGGTGTAGAGATGGGAATATTTATCCAAAATAAAATAATTGACTACTCAACAATGAAATATTTTCATCATTAAAATAATGCAAAATTGCATTATTGCGATGGACAGTGTCACAGTAATTTACAGTACATGTTATATTCATATAATTTATATATATATGTAATGTGTAAACAAGGAAAAAACAGCTTATAAAGCATTATTCTATTCCCCAGTATTGCCACCAAAAATGCAACTTTGAAGTTCTATAAAATAGCAAGCAGAGAGTTCCATAAAGAAAAAAAGATATTTTTATGCAAGTTACATCCTTATCTTTCATTTTAAAAGAAGAAATGAAATATTTGCGATATGCGCTAAAGTATAGTTCAGCCCTCTAAGGTCATTATTTAAGTCATCTTAGGGGTCACCAGTAAGTTCCTGTTTTGATATCCGGAAATTTTGTTGAAACTTTTTCCGAAAAGATGTGTGGATAACAATTTTCCTGAGCATTCGTGTACTGTTCAAACGTTACGTCTTGACACTCTGCCCGTCTGACCTTACGTAAAAAATTGTTTCCTATGTAGAACTTCGTAAAGATTGCGAATCTTCTGACAAGTTTACGAAGTTCAACTTTGACGTTATTATATGGCGGTTGCCAATATGTTTCTTTTTGGAGCGCCTGAAACGTTTGTAGGAATTTTTTTTAAAAAATCGGGTCATTCATTCATATAAAGTAACATAAAATGTAAGTTGATATTTTGAAAGCCTTGAGTCGCAGCGAAGAAGCCTGACAACAATTTTTTTGAATTCTTACCTGACCTCAGGGCCATATCCAAGTCAAATCAGAGTGGCGTTTTTAGTTCTGTAGATATATAAAAGTCTTTGATGGCAATAGTGGTATATTACATTCTACCTCATTTTATATAAGCACCTAATTCCATTACCCGTACAATTTAAGTGTTCATTTGCCCTATATCAGAAAAGGAATAGAGGCATCGAAATACCGCAGAACCAGGAACAAAACAAGAAAAACTTAGCTTATTTAACTTCGGTTGGGCAAAGTAGCTGATGCGGGGTATACTACCTGGAAATGGAAAAAGTTGGAGTGGAGTTCGATGAAGGTATCGACTAACAAAGAGGTAATGATACGTCTCAAACACAGAGTCTGTTAACAGTGGTATTTTAGGAAAAGCTTCTATTTTAGTGTACTATCTCGTTTAATATAATGAGCAATATACGAGTATATATTAAGGACGATATCAAAGACAATACATTTTTCTGTAATAATGATTTTATTTAAATAAAGCTTTTGTATGTATACAGTTAAACAAAATCATTATTAAACTAAGATACATTTTCAAGCGAAACATTTATGCTATCGCTAGATGTCGCTAATAATGTATTGAGCCACCTTGACGCCGTCCACATTTATCCAATCGTGGATGATATCTCTGTATCTTATCATAAGCTAGTTGTACTAATTAAAAAAAGCTGCTATTATTGGTGAATGATGAGATAAAGAGTTCACTCTTCTTCCCATCACGTCTCACTAATGTTCAATTGGCAAATGGCCTGGTCTACCAGGTCAAGGATGGTCGACTCCTGTAGCTCTAGCAATGCATAATGTTGGAAAATTGGGTTCTCAAGCGTTTGGAGAAATGGTGAAAGACGAAGTCGTACATACTCGAATGAAAACAAGAAGTCATTTAGATCATCATATAGCGGAACCTTAAGCCATGATTCCTACAACATTGTGCGAGTGATTTTCAAGTGGCAGCTTTACTTTCTAATTGTCATGACATTGTTTTAAATGATGATGATCTGGATTCTGCTTAGGGATGCACCTGGGCAAGAGAGTATTATTTCCGTACAAAATAACAAAACTATTGGGTGACACATTAAATCACAAGCTGCTTCTAGTCAAATCCGATTACTATGGTTCCGATTACCTTCCTTACGTTCATCAAGTCATACTTAAGTGACAGGTCGTGGGTGGTTGTGATTGCTGGACAAAAGTCTTTGCCAAATGTGCAATCTGGAGTAGCCCAGAGCTCCGTTCTAGCTTTTTTTATTATCCATCGCGGATCTGCAAGAGTGTGTCAAATACGGTCATGTGCAATTCTTAGATAAAGTATGATTTTTCAGTTTCACTATATTCTGAATACTAGCCACTGTTGCTACAGGTTCCATAATCTCAAACTAATCCCATCGAAGTGTACACTCTTGCTTTTTGTTCATAACAAAATAAGAACATTTCGTAAATCCAATATTGACATTCAAATCGGTGGAGAAAGTATATTTTATTCATCGTGCGCCAAAAATTTGAGCTTACATTTCGATGTGGACTTGAGGTTTTAAAAACACCTATACTAAGTTCTGAGGCAGCTCCAGACTCGTGTTCATCCATCTTGCATTCCTAACACGGACCTGAAACCGTCAATATTAGAATGATGAATCCTATAAAAGTGTGTTTAATGATGGAATATGTTTAAAAGTGCATCATTGACGGTTCGCGGAATAAGACATAATGACTTATTCGTCTGTCTCCAAAACTAGACTTATGGCCCACCGATGAGTTGCTAGTGAGCGCGAAACAGCACTGTCTGCGGTTAGTCATGGTTACACATATGTATTCCAGTTCTTTCTGTCATATTCATCGTATGGGAAGTGGGTGAAAATCGGCTGGCCACTCACCTACTTGCGCACGGTATTTATTTTTTTCAAAAGGCCATACCCCCTTGTTTGCTTCACGTTCGTCTTTCTCCAAAACGATCTATACCGCACTGATGGAATGCTAATGAGCACGAAACAGCGCTGTCTGTGATAGGTCATGGTTACAGAGACGCAAATCAAACATGTTCATTTCACCTTAATTTTGTCCTCGTTGTAAGCTTGCCGCACTTGGGAGTTGCCTATATGTGAGTTTTAATACTGAGTGTGTAGTTTTAGTGTTGTTGTCCGAGGTCGAAAAAAAGGCCTAAGTTGATCTAGTTACCAGACTTCCTCTTCCTACATTATTACCTCTATTGAGCGTGTACATAAATCTAATTTTGTTGGTGTCTGTAAGAGACATTGCGGATAATTCATTTCAGGTGACATTATTTCCTGCCTTTTCTCTCCCTAGCTCCTGTTTTTATGCTGTCGTGGGCAGCCAGTTTATTGCTTACCACGTGATTAATTGTCTGTTTGTTATTCCTGCCGAGAAACGTTCTACGGCGATATTTCTCTTTCGCTCTATATTTTTTTCGGTCTAATATCAACCGACTCGGTTGATTTTGTATTTATTCGGTGGTTTTCCAGCTGTGACTCTTACTTGTAGCTGATATTGGATTTTGCCCAAATTCTTTTTGTTTCAATTGTTGTTCCCTTCGCGAGAACTCTTTAAATTAAGGCGTGGACCACAAAAGAATGACGTTTGGTAATATTTCGACACAAGAAATAAATTAGTCATTTTAAAAGACTCATAAGTCACAATTTGAATTTTTCAGGAGACAATAAAGACTGTGTTATTGACAAATAAACCAGTTTTAAAGAATTTTTTGAGCTGGTCTGTAAATCAAGTGTCAAATATTATTACAATTTTATATTGTCATCCTCAAAATAACCCCTGCTGAAGCCACAGAGCGCGGGCGACGGTTCTTCCACTCCCCATAGCAGTGCTGGAACACCATACTGGAATAGCCTTCAGCTGGTTGGTTACATCCATTTGAATGTTTTCGATGTATTCCAACTTCGGGTAGAGACAAAACTCACAAGGGCTCAAGTCGCTTTTACTAGCCAAAAACTCTTTTGTTGATATTGCTGGCAGCATTATCGTAATGGAACATCCAGTTCTTGATCTGATAAACGATGGTGTGAATTTAATTTAACTCTTCTCCAATCATTCTGACTGTCAATCAACAATCTGAACGCACAAGATCCCGGATTCTCCGATATGTTCATCGGTTCTTGAAGACGAAAGCCCGTTTCGTGGTCAACCGACTCTCTCCCTCCTAAAAATGCCTTCCATTGCATTGTGCTCAAGTCTGAAGCAAAACCTGATAGCACAACGTTGCTCGAAATTGATGTTACTCATTTTTAAAACACAATAGCAAAGACTGTTTCACAAAAAAAAAATCGCAGCGGACAACCAAATACTCGAGCGAGTAAACTTGTACTGAAGGCGGATCACATGGTCCCCTGACACCCCTTTAAGCTAAATTTTTTTTTGCATGATTGATGCTGTGCGTGTATTCCATTCCTACACTTTCTACAGAAATATCTTCTTAAAATATTCAGTGTTTGTTCAAGGGAATTTCTCATTCATACAAATGAGAACGACTGAGTCAATGGTTTTGGCAGGAGAACAAGAAAACTTTTAAATAAGTGATTTCAGTCAAACCAGATACGGCAAAGTGGATACTGTATTCACTCCTCTTTGGAAAGCTGACTGTTTAGGTATGTTTCTCTAGCAATTTACAGTGTGAGTATACTAGCACTTTTTAGAGCTGCTAAGGGAACCTGAGAACAAATACTTCTCCATTTTTCGTAATAGAGGTGTGCAGCGCAGCTTGCTCCAGTTCTTTCGCGTCTCTTCCAGATATCTGGAATCTGGCGCCTTCCTAGAAAACTGGAAATTTGCTCATGTCCAATTCATCTCAAAAAAGGATCTAAGACCGACCCTCACAACTACAGGCCTATAGCTCTGCTTTCTATTATAAGTACGGTGATGGAGAGGTGGATAAATCGCGAGCTTCTGGACCACCTCGAACGTCACGGCTTGATTAGCGACAGGCAGTACGGTTTCCGGCACCAGCGATCCACATGGTACCTCCTATGTCGTTGCTCTTGATATCACGAAAGCGTTCGATCAGCTGCGGCACGCTGCCCTCTTATGCAAGCTTCCATGGCCTCCCAGAAAAGCTTTGTAGATTGGTGGCTGACTTTCTCCCTGGCCGCAAGATATCCATCGTAATTGACGGATTCTCCTCTTCATCCCACAGCGTCAACGCGGGTGTTCCCCAGGGATCGGTCTTGGCTACGGCACTGTTCCTCTTACATATCAACGACCTCCTTTCCTGCACGATCAACTCAATCCACAGCTTCGTTAATGACAGTACTCCACATGCAGGAATTCAGAGTGACAAGCCGATCTCTGCCGCTGAGCTGGAAAAAAGAAGACTAGCGATGTCTTCCTGTCTGACGAGAGACCTGGAGGTTATCACTGCTTGGGGACGCAACAATCTTGTACTGTGTACTGTGTCTTGTTGTTGTAATGCTTCCAAAACACAGTACTGTACCTTAACGAACAAAAAGCGTCCTAGCGCTCATCCGGTTTCGATGAATGGTCGAGTTCTGTCAAAGAGCCGTTCATTTCGGCTAGTCGGAGCCCAGATCACCGAGGACTTTATCTGGCACGAACACATCTCGTCAATAGCGGCAGCTGCTGGGAAAAAGCTAGACTATTTGTTTAGAGCTAAAAAGTACTTTTCTCCGCATGACCTTGTCACTCTATACGAGGCCCAGATAAGGCCTAGCCTCAAGTATTGCTCACAGGTTTGGCATGCTGCCGCCCGACTACATTATTTATGCTCGATGCTGTCCAGAGAAGGGATGTCCCACTGACCGATGACTCTTCTCTAACAGACAGTCTCGGGACCCTTTCGCACTGGCGGGCCGTCAGCGATCTAGCTCTCTTCTACCGCTACACCAACGAGCTTTGCTGCTCAGAGCTCTCTTCCAGGATGTCACCGCGGGATGTGCCTGCCAGACAGACCCGCCTGACTTTGTCCTCCTATCCTAACCGTGTCGAATTTTGTACAGATACGACTGCTTGTTCGTCCCGAGGGTATCGAGATTGTGGAACAATCTATAAGAGGAAGCTTTTTCCAGTTCTACTAACCTTAGGCTGTTTAAAAATCGGATTAACAAAATTTCTTTGGGATCCTCATAGCAGCCGCAGTATCCCGGTGCGCGGCTGCTTCGGTATAAAAAAAAATAGCTGTTACTTTACTCGCGCATGTCTTAGATAGATTTTAATATTTAGAGTCAAATGCCCAATTTCGGGTGATCCTTAGACAATCACAGAAACTTAAAAATACTATTGGTTTTTGAGCATACATATACTCGTATGTAGCCAAATTTGAAAGCATCTTGGGTC